CTGAAAAGTAACTCAGCCCAACTCAGACAACTTACTAGGGTTATATTCGTAAAAATGTCTTCTGTTTTTTTGTTTGGTCACAGAGGACTATATTGTAATTTCATAGCCCTTTTAGGTTAGATTTGCATTTGATTCAAGTTGGGGTCTAGTATTGGGGTTAAAACCAAGTTGTGGGTTAGTTTTGGCAAAAACCCCTTATATTATATTGAAGAAGATGGAATATGAATGAAAGTAAGTTTGTGTTCAAAAAGAAAAAAAAATTACATATATATTTTTCTTTATTTTATTACATTTCTAAAACTTTGAAAATTGATGATAGATATGATTAAACTCTTGTTCAAAAAAAAAAAAAAAAAAAAATGATTAAACTCTTAACTGTAATCATACAGAATTATCCTTATTCGATGATAATTTACTTTGGATGCGACCAAACTGAACCAAAATAATACTGAAATCCATATTGCAAATTATCCTTATATAAGACTAAACCAACTATAAGTGGACAACGTGTAAATATTGATATTTAACCATAACCCTTAATATACTTTTGTTTCAATACAATGTAGTGAATCAATTATATATTTTTATAAAACAACAAATTATATTAGCAATCGTCTCTGTGGTGTCTTAACAATAATACTCCATTGTAAGTCTAAGGATAACGATCTAGGTGTCAAAACTCCCACACCGGATAGTTCATTGATCATTTGATTTAGACCAAATATTTTTGAAACAGCACTTTTTTATTGCCGTTTAATATGGTCTCGAAAAGCACATTCGTTTGATATTTATGATGATTACAGTCACATAGATGGTATTCATAAGGGTAATCCATGCGTCGACTGTACATGGAATATAAACCTGAATAGGCCATGCAAATTTAACCAAAATACTAGTGTTTTACCTTGCCATGTCCTCTGATTTCATAGGTCTAATATAATATTTGTTGACCTTGTCTGAAGTAGAAGAGAATCAGAAGATGTAAATAAAAAACGCATTCAATAATAATTCACCCCCCCCCCCCCCCCCCCCACATTTGCAAAAGATACAGAAAAGACACAACACCATTCTCAGTGACCCATACAACTTACACCATCCCCCGATTTACAATTGTCAAGAGATAAGATTATAAAACTTTTGAGGTAAGTTATAGGAGCATAAGAACTCATATCTTTGTAGAAGTCTACACATATATGTCTTGAGATCATACTCACACTCTATGTTTCAAAAGTTGTACATAAACAAAATGATCAACACAAAAGGGCCTGAACATGATACATCAAACGGATTAGAACCATGAGCAGCCTCATCATTCCCCCTCGTATCCTCTTTCCCACTATCCAATCTTTATCTCAGATTACACACGCAGAGATTTCACCTTTTATTTCGGATCTGTACTACACCGACCATAACAAAGCAAACAGTCTGCATGTGATCATGTCAGTTTCACTTGGACCAACTGAAATCTTTGATTAGACAGCTCCATACAACTCTAGCCGCTTAAATATGACACTCAGTTTCTTCATGTTAGCTGGATCTTGGTTACGTGACAACAGCCTCTTCATTTGTTGAAAATGGAATTCGCTAGCAGCTTTTTTGTTTCAGTCTGCATGTGATCAATGCAAGCTAGCGAATCACATCAAAAGAGTGGGAGGAGTTGTACATAAGACATTAATGCTTCGATTAATTAATGTATCTGAATAACAGAAGCCGTTTCAGAGATGAACACCAGTGGTGGTGAGATGTGAAGAGACACAGTGACTGAGCGACACAATATATGACATTGACTTCTTAAAGAAAAACAATAATAGCCCATCATATTACTCAGATTAGTACACAAAACCCAAATAGAAACTCATTGTGAGAAAGCAGATTTACATTGTTAATGATTGAACGCCACATGTCACAAAATGAAACCCCCATCGCTGAGGTGAATGCATGAACAGAGAAAACTCTTCATTATATATATAGACTAGGGCAGCTTCGCGCTACGCGCATAATTTAATAGATCAGTTTTATAAAAAGTATAATTTTATTTTATGTTAAAGTGGATATGAGTATGATTATGTTGTCTATGGCAAATTTCAATTATATAATTAAAATGATTAAATTCTTGATATTGTTGTTGTTTTAATTTTGAATTGTAAGTTTTTATAGTAACACTATAAAATACATAAATCAATTGGATCTGATAAAAAAAATGAGATCGAGTTTTCTAATTGCAAGGTATCTTCTTCTTTTTTTTATTAATTTGAACAATTAAATTTATTATTTTCATACCAAACTGAATAATTTTATACCAAATTGGAGAGTAAATTTAGTCAAAATTGACCAAAAGAAGAACAAAACGCTATTCTCCACCAAACCAATTCATGGGAAAACATTTACAAATGAAAAATAAGACAAAATCCAAACTAACTGAAAAACTTTTTAAATAAACTACGACATAAAACCTTACACCTAAAACATATAAATTAAGCCATGATAGCAAATTTAAAACACCTACACCTAAAACATATACTTTTACCATTACAACCAGTTTTATGAAAAAAAATATTTATATGTTTAATTTATTCTCAGTTAAATGTAGCATTAATTTCAACTATTTCCTATAATAAATTTCACTATTTGATTTTATTGTTTTTATAAGTTATAAACTTATTTCATTATTAAAATAGTTCTGATAAATGTAACTGTTTTTTTTTTAAATTGGTTCTAAATTGATTTTGGAAGCAAGTAGAATGTATTTTTTAATACTTTAATCGATGAGATTTAACACAGAAAACATAGACCATACCTTTTGTATGTTTATTTCTTGAATTTAGAGGTTGATTGTTTGTGGGTTTTGTTTTAGTTTTTGGTTTTTGTTTTTCTAAAAATCATTTTTCTTCCAATCAAGTTTTTGTTTTTAGTTTTTGCTTTTGTAAAAATCATTTTTCTTACCAATCAAGTTTTTATACAAATAGATTCCCTAAAATTTAGGGAAACTATTTTTTTTCAAAATTTTAACCAACTTGTGAAAAAAGCCAAAAACCAATTTTTGTGAGTTTTTAATACAAAAACGAATTTCATTCTTTTTGTAAAAAAATCTAGATTTTAGTTAAATAAATAATATTTTCATAAAGATAAATCATCCATACACTTCTTTGTAGATAATATATAATTCAAACCATAGTTTTAAATAATTTATTTGTGTTTCATATATGTCAGTAAATAAGATATCTTTATATAATATTAATTAATTGTAAACAATCAGTTATTAACTTCTATAAAATTCATTGAATAATTTTAATAGTTATTAGACACATTAAAAATAATTAAAAATCGTAAGAACTTAATTATTTTATTAATAAAATATATAATATTAAATTCAAAATAGCCTTTCAGGTTTAAATATAAAAAAACATATAAGAGAATTTATAAATAGTTTAAAAAATTTAAAATATTTTAATTTTTTATAATCTTTAAAAATTTTATTGTTTATATTTTAGTATAATATTTAAAACTAAAATAATTAAAAACATGTTAATTCATTTTATTTTAAATAACAATCACTATATTTTGGTAAATTTTAGTGATAACTTATAAATATTTCATTATTTTTTTATTATTATTTTAAAACAAGGTATTGATTATTGTTTGAAAACCTAAAAATACAGAAAAACCAAAAATCAAGGCCCCGATTGGTACAGCATATGATAAAGCAGTAGCAGTATGCTGTAGAAGCAGTATGCTGCATAAACTGTATGCTTTTATTAAACTTTTTAATAAAGTGATTGGCAGAGCAGTAGTTGTATATAATTTTAAAATTATCATAATTTTTAGTCTAATAATATATTTATTTAAAAATACTATTTATATATTTAGAATATATATTAATAATAATTTTTTCTTAAAAATGAATCTTATTCATTATATAAATTATAATTAAAATGCAAAATTTATTTTAAAAATATGAAATTATTTTTGGATATAAACATATTTTAATATTATTAAATAAAATAATTAATTATATAAATTATTATTATTTACTTATTGGTACCACAGTAAATGATTCATATATAAAATTATCCTAAAAATTAATACATGTTATATATTTATTAGTGTCTAAATAATATGTTTATATCTATGATATATAACTATATATTATGTTATGTTTGTTATTAAAAATAATGAACTATATATGTATAAATTATATTATATTTTAAATGTTAAATACTGTTTTTTAAAATAAAAAATAATTATAATTTTATTCTTATTTTAAAAAATATTTTTAGTTTTTAATTATTTTTAGATATAATTTTATACTTATTTTAAAAATATATTTTTATTTTTCAATTATAAAAGATTTTTTTATTATTAAACAAAAATAAATTAATTATATATAATTATTTTTAAGTTTTATATGTTCTATCAGCAAATGCTCTTCTAAAAGCTATATATGAGAGAATTGATCAAAGAGCATTTGTATTTAGTAAATGCTTTTTAAAATATTGTTTGGCAAATGTTGATTGGATAATAAAAAGCATAATGATGATGCTAATGTTCTACCAATCAAGCCCCAAATCTAAAAACTAAAAAACAAAACCAAAAGCTGAAAGCTGAAAACAAAAACCTAAAATCTAAAAACCAAAAACAAAAATCTAAAACCAAAAATTAATGGAAACAATCATCACCTCAGTTTTGTTTTATTTCTTACATTTTTATTAAAATGATGATATATTTGATCCCACCCACGCTTCTGCTACTCTACTCAGCCGCCGCAGCTTCATCTCTGAATGGTCAATTCACTGCATGGCCAGCGATTCTCCACTCTCTCAGTTAACCGGTGGAGATGGTTACGTCTCTGGCTCTCCTTCTTCTCCGACTTCTTCGGCCATCGATTTCCTCTCCCTCTGTTCTCGCCTCAAGGTAATGTTACTTTAGCTTGGAATGATCCGCTTATTGTTTTCCACTATGACTCAATGTTCTCTATGATCACAACAAATTTATCGTTCTTTATAGAATCAAAGCATTGTTCTATGTGGCTCTTTGGATAGTCTAACGTAAAACGCATAATTGCTTAGTTTAAAATGTTCGTGGAGGTTACTTGAGTTTGTTTCATGCACCGATGCATACTTGGATGACCGCTGATGTTCTTGTTCATTGTTTGTTAATAAGATCATGGATTGTTCATATTTTCTGGATATACGATTTCTAGTGTGTGATGGGAGATAGCTCTTGGCTTCATACTATTGATTTTCTTGTTGATAGATTGTTCACATATTATTGATAAGATCATGCCTTGCTCTATATATATATATATATATATATTGATGTTTTTTTTTGTAATGTATGATGGATCTTTGTGGAGATAGCTTGAAATGCTTCATGCTTGGCTGCCTTCTTTTGATGTTATTGTTGGTGGATTGTACTGGAAGCTATAGTTTGTTTCGGAATTGTATTGATTTCTAGCTATGTAGTTGATTTGTTGTTCTCTGATTACTCAAGTTTGTATAGATGTTAAGTTTTACCTGTACCTTCTTGTTTCATGTTTCATCTTATGGTAATCCATATCTTTGTGCTGAAATAGACAGGGATGGAGAGACTAAAAGAGATGTTAAAAATCAAGAGTCAATAGCTGATCACATGTATTGGATGGATCTTATGGCCCTAATCTCTTCAGATATCCCCTGTGTAAACAGAAACAACTAAGCTTGGTTGCTTCTCTATCTTCAAGTTATAGTTTCTGAGAAAAGAATCATTCATCTGAGCTTTCCATGCTGTCTTTCTTTCAGATGCATTCAAATGGCAATTGTTAAACATTGCAGAATGTTAAGTCTTTTGGTTAAGCGATGAATATAGAAATTTGTGGGTTTTTTTTTCAACACATGAAGTCTAGTTAGAAAGACACTTCATTATCGTCCTTCTTTTTTTTATCAAAATAATTATAGTTATTAATGACGTAACTATAATAATTAATGACATAGATTTATTGTTTAAAATTAATCTCAATTAATAAAAACTAACCAAAGGCTTTAACTGTAATTTACTATGAATCTACAAACATTCTAATAAATTTTAAATGATATATGTTAGTTTAGTAATATACCAATTTTTCTGTAACATTCTAGTAATTTTCTCAAACTATTATCTAGTTAATTAATACATTGTAGATGAGGTACCAAACCTATTGGTATGCTAAATATTATATTTTTCATCATCAAACTAAACGTGTAGTAACGAAATGAATTATCTTCTTGGTTGTTGTCGTTGTCGTTGTGTTAATTGTCCTCCAGAGTTTCATATTTTGGGCGAGAACAAAATCATTCATTCAACTATGGACATAATATTAAAACTTTAATATTTTCTTAAATTTATACCTCAACTCTAAACTATAAAACTATAAAGTTATAAATTTTATCTTTTGAGCATTAAATCTAATATTTTTTGTTATTTAAAGTTTAAGATTTATGTTTAGAGTTTAGGTTTTTAGTTTAGAGTTAAACTCAGTCATAACATATGTATAACTCAGTCGTACTCAACCATAACGTAAAGTTTAAGGTTTATTATGATAACTCAGCTGTAACATATGCTAACTCAGCCGTAATGTGTGCATAACTCAGCCATAACGTATGTGTTAGGAGATTCACTGTATGAACTAACATTATTATATTCATCATCTTCTTCGTTTTCTCTCCTTTCCTTACTTTTTTTGTTCCATTCTCTCATTTCAGACCTCTTAAGCTGCAACTTGTTATCACTTCTTGATCGCCTTTTGAGTCCTTCTTCAAGTTCTTGATCGCCTTTCAAGTTCTCTCTTCATCTAACTTCCCTCTCTCCTACGGCTTTGCTTCATTGGCTTAGCTTAGGAGAAGAAAGAAACAACATTCATTTTTGTTAACATTCAAATGCTTCATCATTTACACTGTTTTGACTTCTTTTTGTCCACGCTATGACATCACATTTTTGTATTGTTCTTGTTAACCAATGGGTCTCTGTTTCTTTATCTTAAATCATTTTACACTCTTGTGACAATGCCAAGATTCTCAACACATGATTGTGTAATGTGAGTAGTACATACAACGTACAAAAACTTTCTCACTGAGAACTCAAAACACTAATCCTCTCTAGAACCCTAAACCCTACGCAACAAATGTTTGGTAATCTCTGAACAAGAAAACAAACTTGATGAAAAGCATTCATAAGTTATCTATCATACTCCAAAACGCAATTAGGAAGACGTCCTAAGCAAGAAGATGCTGAGTTCTTGAGCAGAGTCAACGTCAGGGTTAATGAGATGGAAAGACTCCGAGTCAGAGCTACCAACAACATGTTCATAATTCGCCCTCATATACATAACCTCGTCAAGATCCGCTTCACCCGACCCGGATCCGGCTTGCAACACGCCCGCTCCAACCGTCGTAGACTGCAACCTCTTCAGCATCACCCTCGTCTCTTCACTGGCGCTCCTCCTCACAGCAAAACCTGACTTCCTCCCGTTGCAGAACATAGTCCAAACCGGTACGGATCTCAGCAGGCAAGACTTTAACTCCGGTCGGGTCGGGCACTCGAGAGCGACGCGGACAAGACCCGAGCCCATTTCTTGAACTAGCTGGTTCGTCGTGATGGAGAGTTCGAGGAGGAGGAGGGGTTTCACGGAGAGACGGTCGTGTTGGACACATAACCACACGTGTCCCTTTCTCCTCCCGAAAAGCGTGCCGATCACCATCGTCCTCGACGGTCTCTGCGGTTGCGACGTGACGGGGGAGAGGTGGTCTGAGTCTACGGAGGCGGGGAAGGAGGTGGCCTCGGAGGAAGAGGCGGAGTCTTGAACGTCGATGTCGTCTCTGAGGGAAGTGCTGAGACGTTTCTTGGATGATGATGCTACGGTGGTGGATGATGATGCGGGGGTTGGATTCGTCGGAGGTGTGAGGCACGGGAGGAGACAACGACGGAGAGCGTTGATCTTTGTCATCTTTATGAATGCTCTCTTCTTCTTTTTTCTCAAAGGTTTTGGGAGAAAAAGGTGAGATGGAGCTTTCAGAGATGAATCTTTTTTGTGTTCTTGTTTGTTGTGTTGCTTCTTCTTTATAAAGAAAGGCGGGAGACAAGAGAAGATCCGTTGGGAGTTTGACTGGTTTGACCGTAATTTCCAGGTGGATTTTTCTTGTCTTGCCACGTGGAAAGTGTTGGATTCTTTGTTTCTGAAAATGTTCTACTGCGATGAAAAAATATTTAAATTTTTTTGCTTATTAGAAAAGGAAATTAGTTTAATTTGGTTATATTTCCGAATGCTTTTTGGTTGATTTTTGTGCTTCACTTTGAAAAAACTGTTGTACACTCTAATTTATTATGATTTATTTATTTAGTGCTTTAGTTTAACAAGAATATTTTAAGAAAATTATTTTCTCCTCAATTAAAATGGAAATTAGAAAAAAAATCCAAATAAAGTTACAAAATAAAAGAAACGAGGATACAAATACTCCCTCCGTTTTATTTTAATTGTCATTCTAAGATTTTACACACATGTTAAGGAAACATTTAATTTTATATATTTCCAAGATAGAAACACAACTACCTATACAGCTAACCATTTTTCAACCAATAAAAAAATAGAATATCATATAAAACTAATAAATTTTGCCTCGAAACTCTAAAACGACACTTATTTTGAAACGAAATTTTTTCTCTAGAATGACAATTATTTTGAAACGGAGGGAGTATATAATTAGTTTGGAAGATTTGGTGACTAACGACTGGTGACATGTGTTGACCAACATTCTTTGTTGTTAGTATTACTGATGATAATAATAACTATGGCCTTTGAATTTCTTTGACCAAAAACCGTTCTAACTAAATTTCATTAATAAAAATTCTCGTTATTTCTTCATGGAACAATGCAAACCTTCAATAAACATAAAGACATTTAAAGGGTACGTCAAGTAAAGAAAAAAAGGTTCTTATATCATTACTTAGAAGATCTACAAGAATTGTATCCATACGTCCACATCGCTTGCCAGCAAGGCGGTTGCGGATGTTACAACGTTTGGGAAAAGCTGTCGCGGCTCAAGGATTGAGTCCAGCTTTCTTGGCTAAAGGAGACAGCACAAAGATAACTTGGTTCTAGTGAGAGCACTGACTTTACCTTCTTTGTTGCTTGGCGTAAGCTAGCTGCAGATTGACCAATGGGCATGCGGCCACACTCACCAGCTGCAGCTAATGGAAGCCAATGTGGTCGAAGCCACTGCAACAAACTTACAACACTTCATGCTTCTTATTTTAGTGTTGTAGACTCTTTAATGCTTTAATCGTATTCTTATATAGTAAGATGTGTTTTCTAACCATTTTATTGACTACTTATACAGCTCAAGTAGCCCATAGCGAGTTCTGTAATATTGGAAGAAATGTGTAGTAAACCACATCTCACAACAAAATATAGTTTCATAAAACTAGACATACATAGTGAACCGGGTGGCTTCTTCACTGACAACCACTCAATCTTGCCCAATCCACGAACTGCATCCCACCGTAGATGTTATTAGCAAACCTTACACCAACGGTAAAGGCCAAAGCCACAGGAGGCACTTTCTTGGCGAAAGGAGATGCTTCAACCACTCTCTCTAGACCATTAATGATCTGATAACGTGTATTCGATGAAACACTAAGGAACACACCTGCCATCAAATCACCATTGTTATGGAGATGAATGTGTAAACAAAGTGAAGGTAGAAAAACTAAAGGTAAGTATGTATATACCCCAGAGAGCTGCACTCTTGATGAGCGGTGGTACTGGAATGTCTTCTTCTGATTTGTTTATGCTTCTGAGAATATCCACACAAAGAAACGTTAAGCCACATCCACTTTTGAGTCCAAGTGGAAAGAGATGTGTTACCGTTTAGCAGTCATGATCAGATTAGCAATGCCTTGGCCTACAATGCCACATCCAAATCCAACCGCACCATACATTATACCCTGAACAAATATATCTGATCAGCCACCAGCTAAAGAGTCTATGGAGCTATTGAGACAGACTGTAGTACCTTGTAGAAGTATGTAGCGAGTCTCTGTTGAGCTGAAAACCTACACCCTGGTCTTTCAGCTTCAAACACGCTGCATCATTTCAGCATCCTCACAACTGAGTATGTGTTTCTAGAAAAGAGGGGAAGTTGTTTCTTTTTACCTGCTTGGAAGCGCGTTATAAGCATTGAGCATGCCTCCTAAGAAGCCACTTGACGCTGATGGTTGACCGAAACGGACAAAAGGGGCCAACATACCAACAAGAGCAACGTTAACAACAACTCCAACAAGAAGATCAGCAACATACAACTCAAACTCTGCCCAGAAATCTTTGCCTCTCTTTTGAACTTCAGCAACAGTGGCACAACAAGAATCAATGACTATCTGAAAATTGGCAAATATCAAATGGTTACATGTTGCATATACCCAAATGTGAGTTCTGAGAATGAAGGACTGAAGTGAAAGCTCACTAACCTCAGTGCCTATTTTGAAGAGGAAAGATGGATCAGCCAACATTCTGTTGCGAAGCATAGACCATGATCTTATAGCAAACCCAAGCAGCCCAGCTGAGCTCTAAAACCCGAGAAGTTAAAAGTTAAAACTAAATTTCTTAAAACTGTTAATTCCAGAAAGAAAGAAAAGAATGTACTTACCTGCAAATCCAAGTACCTAAGGAGAAGCAACTTGCGGATGCCAAAGGTCTTAGCAGCCTCTAACATATCAGATGGAAGTGTGGCTCCTCTAGCTTCTGTCTCTCTCATAACCTCTTCAAACTTCAAAATGGGTCCGAACTCCTTCTCTTCGTACTCTTCTTTGCCATCATCATCTTCTCCTCCATTTCCATTTCCCCCTCCTCCTTTTCCACCGTTATTAAACCCACCATTACCATCACCACCATTAAACCCATCTCCAGCATCACCATCACTTCCAAATTTCTCCACTTCATCAGTTCCCAAGTTTCTCACATTGTCTCCTTTCCTTTCTTCCACTTTCGGTTGTTCAGTAGCCACAACACTAGATTGCGGCTCAACAGGAGACTGAGACATGTTAACCACCAAAAGCCTCGACCTTTGCTTACCTGAAACACCCTTAATCCGCAAAACAGGTACTTTCATTGCCTTAACAAAATCTCCAAACACAAAGTCTCGATTAAAAATCCTCAAGGAAGAGATCTCCTTTCGAAATTTCACAGCACTGGATAACTGAAAAGTCATTGCATATCCTGCCATTTCCTCAAACAGGGGATAAGTCGACAAATATAAACACTCCAATCAAATACCAAAGGAAGAGAGTGATCCCAAACTAAAGAACGACCAATCAAAGATTCTTTCAGACAAGCTTCTGCAAAACAAAACAAAACAAAACAAAACCCAATACGTATCAAGCTTTGTCATTTTTCCTACAAAACCTAGAGAATGAGAGGAAAAGAAGAGACCAAACAAATAAAGCTTGAAACTTTCATTAATTAGGATGAAACCCTTACCTTGTATCTGGCCAGAATTCACAAAACGGGGAGATGAATGCTGCAAAGGTTAGAGAGACAGAGATAGTGATTAGGGCCACTGGCGCTTATTTTCTATTTTCTTCGGCTTCAAAGAATGAATTTACGTCGCTTCAAGCTCTTTGCACGTGCAGGAACTTCTAAACACGTGTGGAACTGGAACCCTTAAGTTAATCATGGTTGTCCTTACTCTTACGTGTTTGTGTACTAATGAGATAAGAGAATCAAGAATGTAAGAACAAAATGTACGAGAATAATAAAGTAAGAATTAAGTATAAGCTACTTTGAATGATTCACTTTGCTTATGTGAGTGTGTGACCTCTAAGCTTAGTACTATTTCTTTTGCTGCATCTTTAATAAAGTTGTTCAAAGGACCAAACATGAAAGTTGGATAGAGTAAAGAGCTGTATAAAATTTATCAGAAACGTATACATAAATCTACTTGTACATAAATGAAGGATTAAGATCAAAGATAGAACAAAGAACATGTTACAACATCCATCACAACTCACACATCATATCCACCAAAGTCCCTCCAGATCCCAAAAGAATAAGAATACATGATCTTGCTGTAAATATACATACATTTTTTTTCTCTTAAAAAACGAAAACAGTAGAAGAAACCAAACCGAGTGAACGTGTTTATGGTTGTTTGTTCATCATGGCTAATGATGATCCTTGCATCTGAGAGCCTGAGCTTCTTCTATGCGACTGCAGATGCTTTAATCTTCTGCTGAGGATATCTATATATGTTCTGAGACGATACCTGTCTGAGTTTGTGAGAGACAATGGCGGATTCAGAATCAGCATTGGTGCTTCTATTAAAAGGAATACCAGCAAACGCACTGCTTTCGAGTATTGGTTTCCAGCGTTCTCTATCTCTCCCATAACCTCCTTAACCTGCAGAAAGCCATAAGCTATTAGTGGAACTGAAACTTTTGTTTTATATATGAGAATGAACATACACTAGTTGATTGTTTTATCCTTCAGATTTGAGTTGTTTATCAAGTTTTGTAGGGGTAAGGCAAAAGGAAACTTACTCCCCCAAGCTTGCCAAGATCAAGGGCTGCTTCAAATATTGTCTCCATTGCATCAGGCATCATTGCATTTCCTACAACCATGTAGATGAAAAACTTTTTAAGATCTTGAATACCACAAGAACAGAGCAGAAGTATGTTCTTTTTACAAAGAGAAAAACAATACCAGGTTCGATAGTCTTGGCAAGTTCTTCAGCAAGCTCAATCTCCCGGATAAACTGCATCTGAATCTGAGAGGATATCTCCTCTGATCCGTCATGGCTGAGATCAGTGATATGCTCGTGTTTTAGGCTGCTACTTCCTCTTGATTTGTTAGGGCTTCCTTCGAAACCTGAGATTGCCTGGGTATGGCATATGTGCAGTGCCTGTTTCCATATTGCCAGAATCGCCAACTGGATCGAGAAAGCTTCTAGGTATTTGTCAGATTTGATCTATGCAAATAAGCATGATAAGAGCTTGATCAGCTAGGTGATAAATAATCAGGTGACTGTCTATATAAAGTTTGGTTACCCTTTCATGAACTAATTCTGCAATTGTAGCTGCACATTTTTTCAGAGAAGTGATTCTTGTCAAGCTGTTAGTTGATGGCTGTTCAAAAGCATCCCCAAGATCCAGAGACCCATGAGAAGTGCTCTGACTGTCCAGGCTTCCAAACCGGCCAATGTTGTTGCCAGTAGCACCAATTATTGGCATAGGAGCCGTTGAACTTATGCTTCTGTTGTATAACTCTGCCGGAGGAGACTGAGACTTGAATGGGAAATTATAAGCCTTCGAAGAACTAGATGAAGATGATGGCAAATCCATTGGTGGTCCAGATACAAGAACGAAGTCTTGATCCATTGAGTCTTGAGAATCATCAACTGCAGAACTGACATATGTGAGAAACCAAACAAGAAACCTGTGCTATTTTCTAGAGAGTAGCAAATAGAATGAATGCGATTTACCTCTTCCTTTAGGAATAAGTGACCTCGAATCAGTCAGTCTTGTGGGTTCACCATGGTTTCTCCTATCAGAACTTATGTGTGTTTCATTCCTAAATCTATTGTTATCCATTCTACTATATCTGGAAGTCAGTTCTGTACAGTTCAAAGGACTAGATTCCATCTCCTTTCCTTCAACTCTACCATCATTGTCAAATCCAGAGGACGACCTCATCGAGGAGGTCTTTCTCAAATGTGAAGGGCTCCCCTCAGGTCCACTGAAATCATCTATAAGGAATGGTAAACAGTCTTCTTGAGAACTCTCTTCCATGTTTCTCGACGGGCTGCTTCCAGAAGAAAGAAAACCGTCCATTGTCCTTGATCCCAACCTACTCCTGCTGGTAAAAAAGATTAGCATAAAGAGAGAAAAAGCTTTAGTCATGACAACTATCACGTCTACCTTGAGAAATCATATGACTGCCTGTCCGAAAGAAAAGGGTGATTAAAGAACTCTTCAAATGTCAAACGTTCCACTGCAGGAGACAAAATATTCAAAAATCTGGATTGTAAACGCACTTGATACAAAGAGATTAAGGACCATAAGCTCTTTTTCTCTTTACTATAAGACATGTGAGGTAGGAGAAGAACAGAGCTTATTGTAAACCGTTATTCGAATCACTATTCCTAACTTATTTACTATAAAAATATATGGGTCTCAAGCAAAAGATAGTAGTCTGATGCTGACCTGGATCAAGGCGCAGTAACTTCTGACACAGATCTATACAGTCCAAACTCAAATCTCTACAGTCCGCTGGAAATTGTAATCCAGTTGATCTCAAAATGTTTTGGAGCAACTGTGAGCAAAAGGTCGAGAATACGTTGGTTTTAGGCACCAAAAAGCAAACAGTTACGTAGAAATCTGTGAGACAGAGAATGCCAAACCTGAATTTGGCTGTTTCCTGTAAAAGGGGTTCTGCCTGTCACAAGTTGAAATAAGATAGCACCAACACTCCAGAGATCTGCCTGTGTGTTTTAAGATAGATTGTAAAGAGATAACACTAAGAGAAATGTCTAGGTTGCTTAGTACGAGACAGGCTTCACCTTTGCATCATACTTCTGAAGTTGCATAATCTCTGGGGCCATGTACAATGGTGAACCGCATAATGTTTCTGCTAGCCCCCTTGGTTGCAACGATCTACATTACGGAACTTGCAAATTTTCAAACGTAATGAAGAATGGGGGACAATATGCATACATCCCTAAGAAAAGAATGAATTTACCTAGGCTAGAACTCGACATAAACACATTGAAAAGCAGCTCGAGCCCATTAGAAACCTTCTCTAATTGACTCATACTACACTCTTTGATCTTAGTAACAAAGGGAGCTGATGAACAATACCTTGCAAATCCAAAATCCGCAATCTTCAGATCTGCATCGTTTCCATCTGTGGATAGAAGAAGATTCTGTTTCAAGAACGAAAAAAACTTAGCAATTACAATCTCAACAAAGATGGAATCTCTAAGACTCTATCTCTACTTGGACAAGGAAACATAATCCACTGCTAAGAAAAGAACATGTTTTATAGAAAACTAACAGATTAACCTTCCACGTCATCCTTTCAGCTCTTTGAAAGCTCAATCACTTAAACACTAAGGTTCCATAAGGCCATAACACACTAATATAATCAACAACAGCAACAAAAAAAACACAATCTACACAGAAGATCATTGAAAAGAATGAAAATATCAAACACACCTGAGGCTTCAAATCACGGTGAATAATATTATTATCACGAAGAACTTGTAACCCAGCAGCTGTTACATACATAAAAAAAAAACCGTCCCAGATTAAAAAACACGAGTCCCTCAACAGCAATAAATAGAAACTACATGCCCTAGAACTTACCTAACTGCACCATGAAATGCTTAGCAGTAGCTTCAGGAACACTTCCACGACTCTGTAAATAAACAGACAAATCACCTCCTTTACAATACTCCAACACCAAATGTATCTTCCCAGGAGACTACACAACACATTCAAACAAAAGGGTCAACCTCAAGAAGCATAAAGGATCGAACTTTGGAATGTTTAAAAGGACCAAACCAACCTCGATCATGTCGAGCAAACGGATGATGTTGGGATGATTGATCCTCCTCAAGATGAAAATCTCAGACATGAGACTCTCTTGCAGCTTCTTGTTGAGTCTCCCCATAGCGATCTCCTTGATAGCTACGTGGGTCCCGTGGACTCGGTGTTTGGCTTCGCTCACCACCGAGAACGAACCCGACCCGATTTGCCGACCCACTAAATAGTCGCCGACAACTCGCGACTGAGACATTTTTTTTTTCGACGGCGCCGAGAATCTAGAGAGGATCGTGTGACGGAGAATTTTACAGACAAGTCGCGGTATGATTGAGAATCTTTTTTTGTTTTGTTTTTGGAGTTTTATGACCCAGGCGGGTTGTGTAGGATCCGATTGGGGTGTGTTTTGGATAATCAGGAGAGAGAGGTAATTAAGTGTTAAGCTTATTCTAGGAATCTTCGTGGAGTATCGTTTATTTGTTTCATATGATAAGATCAGTATGATTATTTTATTTGTTGATTAATGTTATTGCTTGTTAAGACGTTTTGTGAACATTCATTTACTTACAATGGAGAGCCTACTTGCATGCACATTCAACTTATCAGAGATTTGAAACTGATTGCAGATTTGAAACTGATTGCATAGAATTAATTATATCAATGATTAGCCAAGTTTTTCAACATAGTT